TGCAGGTCTCTGAGTACAACATAACAGGAACAGGACTTGGAAATAACTTGTTAGAGAATGGAAAATATTATATATGTAACAACTGTAAGGGTGACATCTACAGGCCAGAGGTAAGAACACCACACTTATGACTCAAGATATGCACTAGAGATCACCAATGAGAATAGAAGAGCTTTGGACTCTTGTATATGTTTGTTGCTGCAAAGCAACAAAATCAGTTAATGCAGCACAAGATAAATCTCAGGAAACTAAGCCGCCTTCACCTTCATCACTTCGACCTCAGCTACACTTGGCTGCCAAAGTATATATTTATGTATTTTCCTTACATAAGAAGGGGCATACACCGAAATTACAATAATTAAAACCATCCTTACCATAAGTGATGATACCCATAATTATGTCACCACTTGAGGTGCTTATATCTGCACGGATGAGTTCCAAGCATGTCTTTACCTTACCCACACTGATATGGTAAAATGTTATGGTAGAGCGGCAGACTGCACAGGGCCCTTGTTCAACACAACAGTTTCAGCCTAACTTAGACACTTTTTTTATTGATGCCAGTTGTAGGCACATGCTATCCTGTGGTAGCGCCAAAGAGCAAAAGTCTGTCTTTGTCACAAACTCCCAAAACATCTACAATATGTAATATATAATACCTGCAAATGAAGATGTTTATTGGATCTTGGTTCCCTGCCACACCAAATCATTCACTATGTTATCCACTCTAACTGTATCCTCACAGAAATCACCATGTCCCTGTGAGGGTTGTACAAAAAATATTGTTTTTTACTGGCACAGGAAGGAATAGAGAATAATAAAAAGAATGTCAGAAGCAGAATACATAGGGAGTAATTTAGTCAGCCCATATGTGGCTGGTGTGTCAAAAAACCTCAGAATAACTTTAAACAAATATTACATTCTAGTGTCTTTCAAGCACAGTAATACACTGAGAAAGAAGATTCTACTTCCAAAAATCCCAAAACACAAACACAAGCAAAGTAACTTGTTATATCCAGCCTAGGTTAATGAGAAATACAAAGACCTGTATATTGGCTGACAAAACCCACTCTCAACAAGCTCTTAGGGTCATTCTTATTGCACAATAAGGGCATCCCTTTTTGAGGTCAGCAAGGTGCAGGACAACTGGTTCACAAGATAAAAAAAAATAGATCATCTACATCAAACTGGAAGATCCCCTAAACACCATCTTCCTTCAACACCACCTGTCATCTGCATATAATACCTTCCTAACATTTCTACTAGGCCATTAGACAATTGATACCTTCAGCCATGCAAATTCAACGATCAACACCTGTTGCAAGCTTTCTGGTATCATGCAACGAGATTATGTATTCGGAATAGGATGCCCCTACAAACTTTTACACATCCATCCTGTTCTTGGACAATCAGCATCTGCCTTGACACATTCCATGGTGAATGAATTCGGATGACTCTGAACCACTCAGTTACTGGTGTGGCTAAAATTTTTGGAGTATGTTCCTGATGCTCATTAGAACTGGAGACGCTGCTTGGACAAAAATGTCTTCAATTTACAGAACAAGTCCTATTAAATGTGACTAACTAGTACTAGCTTTACAATGACCTGCATAAATGAGAACCTTTATAAGATTAACCCTTCCACTCTCTACCAAAAATATGTTTTTGTCTGTGTCTCTGTTGCAGTGATTTCCCATCATATCCTGTTCTGAAAGGAAATGGGTGGAATCTCCCCCAATAGGGACACAGACAACAACAAGACCTGACAGAGGTGGCATGGGAGCTTCGTGTTATAAATATGAACGTCCAAAATAAAGAATTTATATGAACAATGAAAAAAATAGATATTTAACAATAGTTCATTAACCTAACAAAATTAGAATTACATTTGCCAAAAACAAAATTGTTTTCTCTAAAAGTGATATTCCAGTTAAAGTTGATGTCTTAGTTACCTTCTGTTCCCTGAGTCACCGTATGTATCATTTTGGGGCTCCACTGGCAAAGACCTTATCAGTAGGATAGATTAATTCCATTGTATTAACTTGATTAATAGGTTTATTCAGCCTGGAAATGTTTTTATTTACCAGGAAGATCACTGAAACTGACTGACCTGACAGAAACTATGCAGTATATTACCATTTCATCAGAGTGCTACTGATTCCAGAGCTACTATTACTAAATGATACAATTACTGTTGCTTTGTCATCTGAGAAAAGTGAAAGAGAAATAACGCCTCAAGGGAAAATGTTTGCATTCCAGGCTTTAATGTTTTTCAGTAAAAATACAAGCAATGATCTTATTGTAGAATAAGAAAATTCTCAGACGATGAATTCTTAAAACTGTATCTCTCTAGAAGCTGTTGCGGCAGATTGTATGCGGTGTGCACCATAATTTTCCCTATCATAGGAAATGGCTTTCCCAATTCTTCTAGGAGTCTTGCCAGCTATGAAATACAACTGAATTCCAGGCAGATATTATATACACATTTTTATATAAATGTATACATGGCCGGTGCTAGACTATTTTGCGCCCTAGGTAAGACCAGCTACTGCAACCCCCCAGCCCCCACCCTGTGGCTGA